TTTTCTTTGGGGCTGATATTGTTTCATTATGCTTGTTCTGATGTTAGTGATAATTTTACCTCCACAAGCAATCGCTATCCTTGAAATTCTCAGAACAAGAAATTTCAAATCAGCAAATGATTCATACAAATGCGTCAACAATAATGTTAACGAAATTAACCGTTTTTCACTTTGTACACATAGCCATTTGGAATTTGCTCCGGCATGTCCATTGTTCTAATTGACCATACAATAAATTGGAAATCTCATATTAGACGAATTGCAGAATCCTCAATAAAAATGGTACATCGATCCAAGTGTACTACAATGTATTGGGACGAAAAGCATGAAACTTTTAGGATCATCTACGCCGAGGCTTTTCTTCCAATGATTGTCCTATATAGGTGGAGGCTTTAAGAGTCAAGAGAAATTTGAAGGCATTAAAGCGAGTTTGCCATAAAAATGATCAAGGGATACAAAACAATGTCATAGAAGAAGCACGCCTAATTGCCAATATTATTCCTATCGGTTTTAAGGTCGAGCAACTTAGCAAAAATTATGAAATAATTCACGGAAACTTTATTATGGAAGGCATCGTCGGTGAAGATCGACCAATGCATTGCAGCTCATGGGCTCATCCCGCTGAAACGGTTGAAATTAGAAACCTGTCATCCATTGATTCATGGATAGAGGATGAAAATGTAATAAATGTATATCCGACGGAAGCAAACAAGAGAATGGGGATGTTAGTTTGCTGTCAACTACAGAAACGGAAAAATTCACTCGGGAAAGTACAGACAGGAAAAATTTTGATCAAATAACCAAGGTGAGAAACTCGCGATTTCTATGGCTTTGATGTGGATTAACGCTGGTAAGATGCGTACAAGGGTTGCTAAATATTATTCATACAGACAACATGGTGGCAATCAGATGAATAAGGAATCCAAAGAACCATGGACTGTTATGCGAAGATATTTAAACCCGGATATGGCCTATTATCGTTCACGGCAGTAATAAGACCCAAAATAACCTATGGATCATTAATCTGGTGGACCAAATCTCAACAAAAAGTAGGTACTCAAACATTAGGGAGCATACAAAGACTAGCAAACCTATGTATCCCAGGGGCAATGAGAACAACCCCTACAAGTGCATTAGAAACTCTGCTATACCTACCTCCACTAGAAATATTTATGCAAGGAGAGGCTAGGAAAAGCTCATTTAGGCTCAAAAATTTGATCTAAATTGGATAGGAACTAAACAATTCGGGCATACAACCATAATTAACAAAATCAGACATCCATTCTTAGAAATGGGGACTGACTGTATGATCCCGGAAACATTCTTTACAACATTCTATAAAGGAGAGGAAGAACGCAGGAGAGCATCAGATACAATGATATCGTATGCAGATGGCCCCAAAACAAACGAAGGAACCGATCGGGCATTTTCTGTACAAAACATGAGCAATAAAACTCGTTGGGGAAGTAAAATTCGGTCTTTCAAGCAGAATACATGCCATCAACGCCTGAAAAGAACGAGGTTACACTGACAAAAAATCCTCCTAGAATCTGCCAAGCAGCTATTAAAGCATTAGCATGTAAAAAGATCACATCAAAATAGTCAGTGAATGCATTCAAAATCTCCAAAGCCTGGGAAAATACAACAACCTGATGATATCTTGGGTTCCAGGCACAGAGGAACAAGAACAAGAAAGCAGACAGATTGACCACAGGAGGATTTGCAAGACCCCGACCTATACTTGGATTAACAAAAATAAACATAGAATCCTCCATCGCAGAATGAATCGAAACAAAACAAAAGGAGAAGTGGATAAACTGTAGCCTAGACACAGTACACTTTTGTTAAAACAACCCTAACCAAGACTGGCAAAATCACTCTCAATTGGAGAGGGGTAAACTCAGAGGAATGGTAGGACTACTAACCAGTTACTTCGTCCGAGAAAACATGTACACAACATGGGCATATACAACGATGATGCCATCTGCAGATTACATAATGAGTAGCCCCCATATCATCTTCAAATACGAAGCAACGGCTCAATGAAGACAACCTAGCATGCAGAAAAAACCTACGGAATGAAATTGTAGCAGCAAGTCAATGACCTAATACATCTAAGAAGAAGAATTGTTTCTATTGCACTGAAGGAACTAGGAAGGTACAATAAGCCAGATGGAGGTACTGCTGGGGAGCACAAACCCTGCTTTCTAGTATCCTCATTACCATACTATATGCGATTATATCAGGGTTCAAGTCAAGCAATTGACGGAATCTGTAAAAAAAATTGGCTTCGCTTTGTGTAAAAGTACATATCGGAATCCAATGCATTGAAGCGGACCGACTGGTCAAAGAAGCTGCTGACATTCGACTACCAATAGAATATAATAAATACCCGTCACCTCTATAAGAAGGTTTCGAAAATATCCTTACAAAAGGGGATCTTGCATGGAGAAAGTCGACCAAACGAGGAGAAGATTAAAATTTTTCAGTCGGTAGAAGACAGGGTCGGATTCACTCTCAATATATCGGCAAAGCTGACGAAGTCTGTCACTGGACATGGGCCCAAAATGAAATATCTGCAAGGATTGGAGTGACAATCAGGTTCAGGACCTGGATCATCATCCACTGTACCACTGTCCTGTACTTGATGCAAAGAGGGCAAATCTGGAACGACACATCCTACTGAATGGATCGTACTGGCCGTATGCTCGTATAAACCTCTTCAATGAAAAATAAACAATATTATATAATTAATTTTAAATTTAATTTTATAAATAAGATATATAATATGTAAAAGTTAATAATGTAAATGTATCTATATTACATGTAATACAATAGTGGTTCATGTAGAAAATTGTTTTATTCGAACCATTCACCAAAAAAGTGCATTTCTTGAAATAAAATAGGAAAAATCGTGTAGAAAAGCACATGAAATAACAAGGTCATGTCAATTTCACTTTCGTCACCGATGAGAAACATTGCTCGTTGCTGTGGGAGAGGAAAAGTTATCGCTCCTCCGGCAGATTTTTCCCGTCCTGCCAGCTCCCAGGGGTTGTGCAAACTCCAAGGGACTTTTAATTAGAACCGGCCAAAACGAGGATTTGTATGATTATTAATTTTGTCATTCGATAATTAGGTGAAACAATAGGTATTAGTTGCGGTATGGTCGTCCCCACCCGTCTTCGTGCATTAGTAAGCACGAAGCGCGTTTTTCCCGAGGCAGGAATTCCACAGGTTGACTTTCTCTAAAATTACTCATTTCACATTAATTCTACTAGAGCTATATACCAAACAGATTATTGGGTCATTCGGCAAAAGCCAGGGCAGAGAAACCTTTGCTCTATTTTTTACCAAGGCTCATATTTGCCACATTCCACAACATAACGGACCTACTTAACGAATATTTGCTTTTTTTTTCAAATTTAAAAAGGAAAAGTCATTGTTTTTGGATAGATACTTTAAACCAACAACAGCCTCCAACACTCACTCATCCGGAAAAACAAATTTGTTAGATTAGTATGGAAGTCTTAGAAACAAGCAAGTCTTTTTTTTAATTGTTACAACAGCATTCGTATAATTGCTATTCTCAGTGGCCCAAACCCTTACTAATATTCACCCAATATATTAAAATTAGTATGCTACACGAATAATTCTGGCTTTCCTTGGATGACGAAATTATACGATAAATTTCAAACGGAGACCACCTTGATCTTATGGAATTTCGAATTTTTTCTCTTTTACTGTTACTCCGTAATTCTCAAAAATAAACGCAATAGCATATATCCGATAAAATCTGAGGTTTCATAAAGACTTCCGCCTCGTAATGATTGTTCGATGGATTCGGACCTTTTATCCTTGCTATTCTGGTCCGGAACAGGTCTGCTTTTTGTCATTGTCACTGACCATCATCAAAAGTGCGTTGCGTCTGATTCACCAAAATCGTGGAAAGGCGATCCTCAATGATCAGAAACGATCAAGCTTCAAAAACAGTACATAATTTACGTCCTTTATTAAATGTATTTTCTCAAATTCATAGAAAACATTAAAATTCATATGGTACAAAAAACGGATTATATTTTTATGGAACCTTTTGCTCATCCTGGCCATCTTCATCCTGAATAAATTTCAACGATTTCCATAAACATGAGCAGTTTTAAAAATACTAAATTATGATAAATAATCGTAATCCACGCTTCGAACATGGTTAAAAATATATTTGAATACGTTTAATTAATGAAAATAAAGATTTATGACTTGTGAGAAGTAGAAGTTATTCTGTTATAGCTAAAAGAATTTATATTGTCAATATTCACAAACCAAAAGAATCACGACAGCTAAGAATCAAGAACAAAAGTGAAGTCACGATAGCTCAAATGGTTAGAGCAGCGGCGTATTGAGCCGAAGGACGTGGGTTCGAATCCCGCTCTTGACACTAATTTTTTCATCTCAACCAAGACATTACATACAAATAACATTAATTGAAAAAAAAGAATGTTGAATTGGAAATGTAGATTTCTCCTTTGCCTTCAAAGAATTGCGTAATTCATAATACATGTTTCTTGAAGAAGAGGTTATTATTTTTTGGCGGAAATGAGTATTTCCCTTATGCAACGATTGTAGAATAAATTATCAACGAACATCACTTCCTTTATTTTACACTCAGGGAGAAACCTCTAACAAAACCCACATTATCGACAAAACTTTCAACAATATAGACGTTGCAAATCCGTGGGTGGATATGTTCGAAATCGTTGATGGCATAATAAGTTCAGTGGTTTGAAGGCTACAGGACAGAGATTAATGGTCATTCAGATAAAGTCCTATTTGCATAAAATATAGTTAGACCAATCGGAGTACTTTTACTATTTAATTCTGTTTTCCGGTTCTTTCTCATGGGTTAGAGTTTGAGGTAAATTGATGGAGTTTCTTATGATAAGTATAATTGAAGTTTCAAATTGGTTAGACAAAAGTTTAAAGAAGGAAAACTAGAATGAACTCACCGTTATTGGAACACGATGGTATATTTCTTCTTCGGTCTCGTCTCGGAGGAGGTGCGACAGGGCTGCTTCTGTAACCTGGTGGACGGTATCTCGCGGATTTAACACTGAACTGATGTACACTGTGGGATTTGTAGATGGGCGTAGCTGCTGATGTCGGACTGGTGGGCAAGCGAGGCAGGGAGTTGGTGGCCGAGGTACAAGAGACCTGAAGGCTCCTTGGAAGTGTGGCCCTTGTTCCTGGTTCGTCTTCGTCCGAGTCGTCATCGCCAGCTGACCCTCCCGGTGAGTCCGGAACGGAGCTCCTTCTCCTTTTGTCACCCCTGGACCAGATCCTGTCCTCGACTGAGCCTCCGATCGAACCGCAGCTTCTGACCCTGTCGAGCTGTTCCCTGGAGTAACTTTTGAACATGAGGTCTCCAGCAGACCGGCGCTTGGCGGCTAAAGCGAGGGCGGACGCGGAAACCGAGCTTTCGCCACCAGAGGCGAGTCTCGTTCTCGAGTCGGATGCCATCAAGGCGCTTTCGAAACTTCCTCTCCAGGAGAACCTTTCGTTGTCGCTCGCTTCTTGCCGGTTCTCCTCCAGAAGAGGATCGTGGGATTTCGACCTAGGGAGTGGACTGTAGTCTTCCACGGAATCTTCTTCCTCTTCGGTCGTGGAAGCGGATAATTTAGCCGACAGACGTTTGTGGTATCTGCCTATCCTAGGACTCGAACCTTCGCCTCCGGATACCTCGTGCATCAAGGCCCACAACCGGCTCCCAATATGCTGCATCACTTTTTCGATTAGGACTGGAGAATTCTGGTTCCCCGAATCTTTCTTCGGAACTTCCATTTTGTTGAAAGAGGCCACTAATCTCTGGTACACCATCGCGGAATCTTTGCCGGCCTCTGGAAGATCGAATTCTTCGTTGCTGGTTTCAAAATTGCTGATTATCTGACGACAACTGGCTGAGATCTCTTCTTGCAAAGCGGATCTCTTGTTACTATTTTCTAGATCGGAGCTCGTATAATCCGAAGAATCGTAGGAGTCGCTCCAGGTATCTTCGCTGCTCAAGTACTCCACTATTTCTTTCACTTGTTCGTCTTTCAAGCCTGGAACCGTTTTCATTAACCTTGTCAATTCGGACTCGAAATAAACGAGCTGGGGAGGTTTAACTTTGAGTTTGACATCGTGGCTAGTGCCTTTTGGTTGGTTTCCGACCATAGTTTTGAAAAATGCCCTCATTTTGGACATCATGAGATTCGTCTCTTCGTCGGAGGACCAATTGTTGAAACTGTCCTTCCTCATCAACACAGTCGACGGCGGAGAAGCGTGGGACACCTCGGAAAATATAGTTTTACCATTCGATGGAGTGGTCACTTCTTCGGATGACTTTTGTGGTTCAGATGTTTCCTTGAGTAAGTCGTCACAGCTTCCGACAAATCCTGAATCCCTACTAGGCTGTTTGTTTCTCGAATTAGCGAGATCTGAGGGCTGTGATTCGGGTTGAGGTGTCACTTTTCCGTCGTCGGTTAGATCTTCTTTACTACCGGACTCTGTAATGTCAACGAGATCAGCCTGGGCCGACGATACCGAACGTTTCTTTTTCTTCGTCCTTTTTACGGTATCAAACTGTCCATCGACTTTATCAAAAGAATTGCTCTGTTCATCGTGGGAATCCGTTTCTGTGCTTGAACCCGAGCAGCCTTCGATCTGGACCTCCGCTTCTGCAGACTCGACAAGATTGTCCAGAGAGTTTGAATGTTGCCGACCTGTGCCTCTGGCCCTCACTAACCGCTTCCTACGTTGTTCGGGACTGGGTCGCCCTTCACTATCACTACCGACACTACCGTCTGAATCTCTTCTGCTGAATCCCATGAAACCACTCAGAAAATATTTTTCGAGACGGGACGATGCCAATTCCGCAGGATCAACCTCGGAAGAAGGCTCTTCGTTACCCACGTTTGATTCCACTCCTTCGCTGTAAATGGAACTCGTTTCTGACATAGTATCTCCTCTATCTTCATTATTTCCGCCGTTGTCGCCAAGTCCGTAAAAAAAGTATTTTTCGAGTTCGGTTGGTTTGTTGGCTTCCACTTCGCTCTCTTCGCAACTCTCTTCCGCTATTGTGTGAAGGGTGAAGTCGATGGCACATCTTTGGTAACCTCTCGTGTCTTCCTCTCTCTCTTGATAACTTTCCTCTTCGGAAGATTCTTCGGTAGTCGTGAGATTTTCTTCCCGGTCCAGATCCTCGACCCACGAGTCGTCGTCGGCTAGGCCCTCCTCGAGGCAAATGACCGCCGACAAAGTATTGGCCCCGGTGACGACCGTAACTTTAGAATCCTCTTCTGGCCTCGTCGGACCTCCTTGCTCTTGGGTGATCATTACTAGACTGGTATAACGTCCGCTTTCTCCCCCTGCCTTCTTCGACCCCCCTTCCTGGCCGCACTCGAGCGAATCTTCTAAAGGCATCTCCATACTTTCCGTCCCTGAGAACTCGTCTGAAGTATTACTCCTAGTTTCTGGTAAGACGGAATCAACTTCTGTTTCGACGTTCTTTGCCGGTTTCGACACGACGTCTTCCTTGTAATATTTTCTTTCTTCGTCTAAAAATTCACGGACAATTTGATAAACCTCTTCGGGTGAAAATGTAATAATGCTGTCTATTGTGTTCTTGCGACCGAATTCTTCGTTCGATTCGTTCTCCATGGCGGCGTCTTCTTTTTCTACTTTAATATCCGGTATCACCTGCCTTGAAGGTTCCTTATCTGTTTCGGGCAAATCCTTATCGCCCTCTGTTTCCGGGTTAGGCGCGATGGGGTCTACATCCGAAGGATCGGGTTCGTCGCCCGACGAGTCTTGAATGACGAGGGTTCTGGAGAACTTCCCGCTAATCGAATCGTCGTCATCCGAGGAATCCGAAGAGTCCGAAGACGCCGGAGGAGTGGCAGCTAAACTGAATTCTCCAGAAGATTCTTCGGAAGAATGATTCAATTTGTAAATCCTCGTGGACGGAACCCTGTTGTCAGCATCTTCGTCTGAAGAGATCGACGACACTGAACTGTCGTCGCCGATTTCAGTAAAATCTTTGAGCTTGGCTTCGGCGAGTCTGAGGATGGTCTCGGGACTGCCTATCGGCCTGGGAACATCGTTCGTATCCAAATTTTTGTACACCGTCAACACCACACTATCACATTCACCGGCACCGTCACTACCTTCGCGGTCGACCAGAGGAGAGGTGGAATTGTTGGAGAGGACTTCGTCCCTTGGCAAGACTTCACTCTGAGGGAGAGAGCTGCTCCGGCTCGTTGTCATTTCAGACTCAGGCGGAGTCGGAACGGCAACAGGGAACGGGAGAAACACGGGTACGGGGACAGGGAAAGGGAAAGGAACCGGAACGCGTATGCACTGAACCGGAGCCGGAGAGGCACTGGAGAAAACCCGATGGGCCGATTCTGACTCTGCCCCCTCCATATGCTTTTTCTGACCCCCCCAGCACTCGAAGTAATCCCAGTCCAACAGACCTCCAGACGTTGTCGAAGAACAATCGTCCGAATGGAGTTCCTCCCTCGAAGAAGATTCAGAACTCGATAAAAAAACCAGCTTGTAATCGTCGGAATCTAAAAATTTCTCGTTGAAACTCGCCTCGCCTCCTAACTCTTCCTGCTTCAAGTCAGGATTGAGAAGACGGCGTCTGCTCCTTGGCGGTGTCACTCCTTTGTTTGAACATCAAAAGGAAAATTTAATCAGAGACTTTTTTCTTAATAAATATATTCCCACCACCTCATTAACTTTGCACATTGGTTATAGCGTCTGTCAAGAAGGAATGAGTGAAATTAGTAAGCGGAACATAAATATTTTTAGCATTCATCGAGTTTATGGTCACTGAACGGAATAATTCCTGTGTAATTAACAGCGCCGAAACTCGGCCAAACAGACTACACTTTCCAATTAAATAGACTTCATAAAATGAAAATTTAGAGTTCGTAAACAACAATCCTCCTGAGTTTTTGTTGAAGGCAATTTTCACTAAATTATGGCGTTTTTAGATAGTAAAGCTCGACTATGTGTCCGGCATACAGAGAAAAGTTGAGTATGAGTTGAGTATCTGGGTCCCCTGTTCCGATTCTTGGAGGAAACAGGGTTGTTTATAGTGATAATAGTTGTGTACTTCCAGCTTCTGTTAAGGGTGAATGTACTTATTAGCTTGAATGTGATCTTTAACGAGGGTTCGCAACAGCAGAGGTCATATATCAACCATCGGGGTAACGGTGTTTTAAAAAAAGCTCATTTGTAAGTATGTAGGGTTCCAATGCACGTCCGCTGGATTCGAACCCGGGACCTTTACCTTACAGTGATGAGCTCCGTATCAACGCCTAAACCGTTGTGACCACCGATGCCATACCAGTAACGAGCTAATTTTTTGTAACGTAGATCGAGTTATGACTGTTTTCGCCTCATGTTCTAAATTCTGGCGTTTTTAGATTTTTGATAATAAAACTAAATTATATATTTAAGATTTTTGTTTTAAGTAGTCACCCGATTAAGAATGAGACCACAGACGTTTACTTTCGGGTCAAAGCTCACTATGTGTCCGGCATACAGAGAAAGGTTGCTTAATGTATCCTACCTAGTTGCGGGGTTCCACATAGACAAAGTTAATAATAAGTTGAATTAGAGAGCGTGTAGGAATGCCACCTGATACAAGAATCGTGCTTCAACTGTGAGTATTTAAGTCCCCTGTTGAGATTTTTGGGGGAAACAGGGTTGTTTTATTTTAGGAATGATGGTATTTTTTTATACTTAGCGTGTGTAGAAAGTGAATATATTTATTAGCACAAATGTGTGGTGCGAGAAGGTGGATGGCGGAATATTGACCCCATCGACCCTCAATTAGGTTAGTTATACAATATGTGTAAAGGGTGATAAAGGAATATCAAGTACTCCACCACCCTAATTGAAGGTATGGTATGTAAATACAAGTGAATGCATTTAACAAGGTTAAATCAATATGAATGGGTTTGGAACTGCATGTGTTGAGCTGAATTGACCTAGCCTAGCTATTAACACCCCCCAGATAAGCCGAGGTTTGCTCCCAGACTGCTAACACCTATGATGGGTGATTCTCGAATCTGCCTGCAACTTACAGTAAGCTGGAATTGCCAGTGTACTACGAGAAGCGAGTAGGCTTAACTTGTTTGTATGTATGTATGTACGTGGTGTGGATGATTTCTGGGTCATGAAGGATGTTTGTAAAAAGACATAAAGAAAGATTTTACAACAACAATTTATACCATTTTTTTATTGTATGGTACTTATTTTATTAAAATTCTTTATTTAAAATGGACTGTAATGCATTTTGGGGATTGGGGCAGACAGAGCCCCGAAATGAATGCAGTCCTTTTTTTAAATAAAGAATTTTAATAAAATAAAAACTCCCTACATCTATAAAAGAAGAAGGAACACCAAGAAAAACAACATACAAAAAGTTTATATTGAAATGCTTTTTTTAATATTTTTATTTATGCTGAGTTTATGGGATACAACTCTGATTTAATGTGTTTATTTAGGTGTATTTCCATTGACAAATCTTTTCTTTTTCACTTTGCCGTCCTATATTTCAACAAATTTTGGTGTTTATTTAATTTTTAAAATGAACAGAGAATGTTTTCATTTTCCATCAAACATATAAACACAACAAGACATGATTTAGAATTAAATTGTGTATTAGAGTTTTATTTTGTGTGCTGAGGGGTGAAATTCGAGATGCACGGATCAATAATTCAGGCATGATCATCAAAGTAATCATAGCAATTGCCTTGACTTATTGCAGCTGATATGATTAGAAACATGCATGAGAAATTTATTAAAAGATCTACCATTCCATATTAAAGAAAACATGAATAAAGCAATCAAACACACCAAATAAAAGAGATAATAATATGTAACAAATAATGAATTTACCTGGTGGTAATTTTTTTGTGTCAACCTTCAGTGTAACTTTTCTGAAAATGGTTCCCGTCAACGGTTCTACAACTTCCTTCACATTGTCAACAGTATCAGTCTGTGCAGGTTCTGTTGGTTTTTCTTCTATGGAACACGACCTCTCCGACTGCAACTCCGACGTCTCATCTGAATCTGGATCGACAGTCGTAGTCGATTTGGTCCCTTCAGATCTATAAAATACAATTACATCACATATTTTAACAAATTGCAAAAATTCAAAAATTACAACTTGTAATATAATTTCGTATGAAACTGAGAGAGAATTGTCTAACATGAGAAATGATAAAATTATTCAGCTTCACTGAACCATTGTTTGGAAAGTTTTCATTAATTATACACATAAAGCCAAACTCTTTTTAGCATAACCAATCAATTAATAATTTAATTTAACAGTTAACATTAAATCACATAAAAATTGTTATTTCCTTGTTCAATTTTTTAACCTCATTGTTCAGCAACCAGAAACCTCAAGTAACTTTTATAATTTTGTAAACAGTCATCTTATAAAATCATAGTATTGTTTTATTATTGAGACTTATGTTTTCTATAATGTCACTTTCTATACAGTACTTTCAATTGAAGAATTCTTGTAAGGGAGTCCAAACTTTCTGACTTTCCATAAATTGCCAAATAAATTTATACATTGACAGAGTATGTGATGTAATTTACGGCTTAAATTTTTTTAAAAAGTGGTCAAAGGCAATATGGTAAAGATTTTGTTGAAAAACAGACAATTTACACATTTTCAACAATTCTTTAGGATAAAACAAAATTATCTAGTCTGTGTTCTTGAAAGTGCTGTCAACTGAAATCTGGTATAATTTCTGAGCATTTCACACATACTAAACAGTAGCTTTTAATTTTTAACTATAAATATGTTACAAGAAATATCTATCTTGCCCCTAATTGTCCATAGAGACAAAAAAAATATATTAATTTATTTATCTATTTTAAAATATTTAATAAATTAGTGCTTGATTGTATTTTAACAAGGGGTCGTCACAGCAGAGGTAATGTCATCTTCGGGGTATTGGTGTTTCAAACCCGGGACTCTTAGTGATGAACACCTTAACCGTTGCGGCCACCGATGCCCCTAGTGCTTGTTCATTTATCTATTTTAATGGTATTAAAGGGTTTTTATGCAATCAAGAGCTGTTTATAAAGTATTATAATGTAAAAATTATAAAATAGATAATTAATGTAGTTTGGATTAGAAATTTCTGGTTTTTATTAGCTACTAGTCTAATTTTTTATTTATTTTTGTTTAAGTCTATTAAGGTGATGAACTTGTCTTTCATCATCCTGTTGAATGTTTCAGCAATTCAATCTTAAATGATGGTTTCTATACATACATAGTGAACAAACTTATACATGAGACATAAAAGAGAAAACACTAACAGACCAAATTAGCACATGAGCAGGATACAAATCGGTAGATCTAATGTCCCATTTTACTATCATATAGTGTGTTATTTAGACATTTTTCTACAGGTTTGTAAACTACAACATAAATGCCAACCCTGAATATTGGGCCAATTTGAAAACAATTAAATTTTTATTACATATTCTAGTTTCTAAACTGGTAAAATGCTTATTTTCCTAGTTTTTGCTGGTGATATTAGTAATTCCTGTTACAAATTAGTAATATGGTAGAGGGGGTGCAAATCAACAGACTTCCAAAAAAATAAAAATAAAATAAAATAAAAATATTTTAAATGCTTAAAAGTTGATTTAGAGATTGTTTAGTATCAAATGATTAGCCAACTTTTTTCTGTTTCAATGGATTCAACATTTTTACAGCGGTTTGCTCTATGTGTTAAGTCAGTCATTACTTTTATCATCCATATCATTCATTTTCTTTTATAAAAAGGTCTCAGCTGACAAAATATCACACTGGCTAACCAATGACAGAAAACCAGCCAAAATAAGCTGACCTGGATGCCCAAAAATTCAGCCTGTCAGCAACTGCTTAAATAAATATTATTTTTAAAGATATAAGAATCATAAAACACCTGCAGGAAGTTCTGGACTTTAAGTACCTTTTTTGGTTAAGGTCTCTAACTTTAAGCTAGAACATTTGATTTAAAAAAAACTATATTATAATAATATTGTTATTCTTATTTTTTTTCAGTATGTCGTTAAAAGTATATTTTTATCTTTTATTTTACAGAATTGGTTGTGTCCATCTGCCATTTTAGTTTTTAACTGTCCAAGTTATGTTTCTTTTTAGGTATTATATAGAACATTTTGCCTAAGTCTGCAATTTCTTAAGTGAATATTGTATTATATGTACAAGAGTTCACAAATGTATTATTTTTCATCACAACTATTATGTGAGATACAATATTTACAAAACTATTCTTGAAAGGCTAATATTTTGAAGAATTTACTATAATTAAATATTTGGAATAAACTACAAAACAATAGATTGTAACATTTCCAAGAATTTATTTGATAATTATATACCTTACTGAACCCGATAATGATGTTAGTTTTAAATTTATTTTTTTATATCACAATTCAAAATGTTGACTTTTTTATCATTTTTAATCAACATTTAGACATGTGTACATTACAAATTATAAATTAAGTAAAATAATAATATTCACCTGACAGGAAATACAGGTTGAGCAGGTCTGTGATAGTACTCAACGTCTTGATGCCTTGGCATACTTGAATAAGCCCGCATTTCAGGGGATCCTCTCAAGAATGCCCAAGGCGATGGAGAAACATCTGAACATAAAATAGTAATTAAACTTAATGGTTTTTGTTTTATTTTATATAAATCATACCAGAAAAAGTCCATGATCGTTGAATGCTCCTTTTGACAGTTTCTGTTGCACTTATTCCATCTTTTTTGTCAACGAATTCATTCATCCATTCACCAGCGGTAGTTTTGAGTTCCCTGTGGTATGAGAAAATGTATTTACTTATTATTATATTCACCTCAAATTTACTTTGCCAACTTACATTTGTTTATGACAAACTGTGCACAGCCACTGGGTAGGGCTGTTTCCGTACTGCCTACACGATTTACATACCCTCTGTCCACACGAAGGGCAGCAGGCACCTCTGTTTATGATCCTTCCAAGTTCATCTCTGCATCTCATGCAACATCTTGAAATTGAACTCGTGTTATTCACAGGAGGGCCGAGCGAAGAGGCGCAGAGAGCCCCTTTCCTCCGAAGTGATTGTAGCTCACCTTTGAGCCTCCTAAAAACCCAACAGTTAAAATTTTGTTAAAGGTACATTTATTTATATTTTTTTCAGGTTTTCATTCATAGAATTTACTTATAATGCATAGCTCGACTATTGAGGAATGGAAAGACCAGGAAACATTCTTCCCACCTATTGACTACTCGAGGAGTAGGCACATGTAGAATATTAACGATCTTATAAATAAGAACTGTGGTTTCCGGTTCCCAGGCTGTTTTAATTCTCAGATTTACAGAGCACAGAACTATCAATAGAATTATAAAATTTACTGAAACTTTGTTATTTCAATTATCTTCAAGTATATTTACAAAAAATAGAGAGAGATATAAAGAAAATGTAACAATTGCAATTTTTTCATCACAGAATAAAGCGGATCTGTGTAAATGTAAACTATTCCTGTGTTTGCAAAAAAAAAAAAAAAACAACTTATGCAATAATCAGTTGACGAGGTCAATCTAGAATAACAAGCCTTGTTGAAATACTACAGTTTAAAAAATTCTATACCCGACGTCAAGGCAGAAATTGAAAATCATAATTTAACTGAATCGTACACTTGATTTGCAGCATATAATAATGTATTATAAGTACATTAAATAAAATTTATTCCTAGGTTGCAAGCAAATAAAAATAGAATAATCATTTGACTTTGTATAAATTCTCATTGATCAAATACTTACACTTTTCACATAACTATCATTTCATACATAAGTAATAATGACTAAAACTATCCTCACATGAAAAGTAATTCATATAATTACATTATATAATTAAGTGTATTGTTGAATATGTTAATGAATACACATCTTAAATTTAGATAAAAATAAATGTCCATCTACCTTTACCAAAAGTATTGGGTTGTACGGAAAATAATGCAGGTTTATGGTTATAAAATAAAAACAATTAAATAAATGGTTTTATAATTTTTTTTTATTAATTAAAATACGCTCCATCTCTCTTATACTCTCTTCCCAACGGGATAGCAACTTCTCTATATCCTCTGAAAAGAATTTATTATTAACAAATTTTGTAAATGCATTTTTCTACTTTTGATCAATAAATTTTTTATGTTGTAAAACGTTGACTACGTGTCTGTAAAAATGGTAGTCGGTAGGCGAGATGTCTGGAGCATAAGGAGGGTGAGGCAGAAGTTCATAACCAAGATCCTACAGTTTTCGTGTTGTCACACGTGACACATGAGGCCGAGCGTGGTCGTATACCAGAATCGGCCTTTTCCGATTGTCCACTGTTGGCTTGAATAATGCCAATTTCTAATACAGTGCTTCAATTTGGGAGCAATACATTTCTGCATTGGTGGTTTCGCCAGGCTTCTGTAGTAAAACAGCCCAAATGAATCCCACCAAATAGTCACCAGGCTTTGTAAAAAGAGGAGCTGCTTCTTCTTTGTCGAGCCGTTGTCCAGAACGTCTGTAACAATTCTATCCAGAAAAAGGTTCGTTTCTGTTTCGGCAAAGAAGTGTTGGGCAAACTTCATAACGACCATTTTTGGGGGGTCGTTTAGTGCATGAGGAACCCAACTGAGCTTTTTCACCTTTCCAATTGCCTTATGGTATCAGCGACTGAAAGATTCTCTGCAGGTTCTTCAATAATTGTTCTGGAATTTCTTCGAACAAAGCTCACAGATTGAACATCATCATCCAGGGAAGAAATCATTCTACGACCTTCTTTGCCCTCATGGTTAAAGTTTTCCTCTCGATTTTTTTAAAAACCATCTCTGAACGGTACGCTCACTCACATTGTCATCGCCTCAGACTTCATTAATGGTCATTTGGGCACCGTTCCGACCGAGTTTAAACTCGTAGAACGAAATTACACGAAAATCAAAGTTGACCTCTTAGTAAAGATTGAATTATTCCCAAATACGAAATACTGAGGTAAATAAACATTTTTGTTTGGGAGAGGATTAAAAAGTGTCGACATTCGTACAAAAGAATAATTATATATATATAGAGGGGTAATTGAAAATGAACATGAAAACCTGCCTTATTTTCCGGACAACCCAATCGAATTAAAAATCCCGTAAGTTATAAATTTCAGTATGTGATTCCATCTAAAAACTAAACTGCAAAATTTCTCATGGTTTTGATGTCTTTTGCCAGATATTGTTTTCTAAGCCAGCCATCCATCCATTCAAAAAGAAAAAGTTTTATTGTAACAACCAATATATAAGAATTAAGTAAATTTCTGTATACATGTACATCATAGTTTTGAAAATTTGTAGTGCTGTATATTCTTTAAAAAAAATTATTTTATTGTCCATCCATTCAGTTGATAAACGAATGTAAACTGCGCAAATTGATCGTTGTTCTTTTCTCATTCACCCCTGATCACAATAAATTGGTAGCAGAAGGTGGCTGAGATCGGACGGTTGGGTAAAGTCATGTGGTCATCTAATTATCGGTCGGTCAAATTATCGTTGTTCTTCGGACGGGGCAAGACGAAGAAAACATACGAATCCGTGTTGAATGAATAAACGGAATTCACAAATTTCAAAATTGTACCCTTAATGGGACTCAAACACTCCTCGAGGCCAGTTAAGAGGAAACACTCTTAGACGCGATGGGAATGTTTGAGGATATCCTCAATGGAGACTACCAATCGAGAACGAAAACGGCGCTAAGGTTCACGACGGGTAGATAATAAAAAATAAAAGAGCTTACAGCTACCTAGGAGTAACGGCTGACCAAGTAAATGCATTTAAAGGAACGAAGGATGCTGCAACATTTTGAACAAAATAGAAGAAATGTACTCTGGTGAAGCAGAAGAAAAAGAGATCGGCATAATGATGGAAGCAAGATGAAAATGAAAAGGTAGGAAAGTATCGAAAACTAACCAACAGAACTAAACGAGATCGGCAAAGAAATAACTGACCGAGAGCTCATAAAGTATGTTGTCGAAGGTATATCAGAAATTTTTCTATTTGATAAAGTTGGGCGAGGTGAAGCGGCCCCAGCAATAAATTAGTTGCCCTTTTCAGAACGTTTTATTGCGAAGTTTCGGGCGTCTGATACCCGTCATCAGACTGATAGAAAAAGAAATTGAAATATCATTCAGCAATATTCCATAGTAGAGCAATTATTGGATTTTAGTTTTTGATAATTTTACTGCTGCAGGTTGCTATCCAACAAAAGACAAAGGCTCTTTCATGTCCCAAGGAAGCAGAACAGTCAGAGATGGATCCAGAGACATGGGTGATCCTCAAGCTTGAAGACGTGATGCTAGTTTCGAAGCTATGTGACAATTTACTTTCAATACCAAGTTTAGTATATTGCATATGTATTAACTGATCGTTGTTCGTTTCTCACCCCTTAATTAACATACCATATACAAATTGAAAAATATAATAATAAATAATAAAATATAATTTGTTAGGAAGCATTGTCGAACTGCCTAATTATTCAGTATATGTTTGCAAGGTTCTGAAAGTTGTTGAACAACTGTTCCTGGTCATTGGTCTGACTATTCTTGCTGCATGTGTTGTAGCATAATGTATAAGTACGTTAATTGTTGAACATCCTTGCGTTTCTGGCTTTGGCTGCCAGAAGGAACAGAGATGATCGAACTACAGATACTTGCAGACCTCAACACGGAAAGTGGAAGATGAAGCATAAACACAATGTGTGGTGATTAGTGACCGTTAGTCCATAATCATCCAGAAATCGTGAGATGCGGTCTGGTGTGATGTAGGTTTTAGAAAAACATTTTCTTAATCGTGCCAACGTTTCGATCTTTATTGAGATCATCTTCAGGGCTCAATAAAGATCGAAACGTTCAATAAAGAAAATGTTTTTCTGAAACCTACATCAAACCAGACCGCATCTCTCGATTTCTGAATAATCATAACACAATGTTTTGTAATCCTTAGGGTTTCAATTATTTACTTTAATTTTTAACGGAAATTTGTGGGGTTGACGTCTTCTTTGGCACAATTCAATATCTTCAGCAGAGGATTCTTTCTTTAGAAGTTCCTGCAACACATTTCTCAACCGGCCGAACAAAAAGTCTTCTTATATGGACAAAATCCAACAGCTTATCGCCCTTTAGGATCTTGGCAACATTAAATTACCACCATTACACTGAAAATTGCCCACTTACACTAAGGGAAAGATGTCCCAAACGACGAAACGCTTCTGACCAACAATTTAAGCGAAAATAATCCGACCAAGATATCTTTGAAGACTATCGGACTATCTTTGTTTGTTCCGTCAATATTTTCAAAATAAAACACACACTTTCTTTACCTTGAGCCTTTCGTAATTAGAGAATAATTTTTACGTTTTGAAAAAAAAAAAAAAAAAATTGATGCCACAAAATAAGCTACAAATAAACCCGTCAAGGAAAGTACCAACTTTACTTGTAGTTTAATTATTATAAATATAATTTATAAGTGGCGAGAAGGGAAAAGGAGTGAGAGAGGGTGCGAGAGAAGAAGATGAAAAGAGAAAGAGAGGGGAGAGGAGGAGGAGTTGGGAGGGAGGGAGGGAGGGAGTGAGAGGGAGAGGGGAGGGAGTGAGAGGGAGAGGGTGAGAGGGAGGGAGAGGGTGAGAGAGGGAGAGAGAGGGGTGAGAGAGGGGGAGGGGGAGGGAGGGAGATAGAGAGAGAGAGAGGGGGAGAGAGGGAGAGAGAGGGAGAGAGAGGGAGATATGAGGGAGGAGACTCATTAAGCAAAGATGGTACCGATGGTACCCCTGCCTATGGGGAGTTTATTAATTTTTATGTAATAAGGATTACAGAGTTTCAGTAAGTACTAAAATTTTTACATTATTAATTTTTGAAAAAATTAACAACAGTTGAAAATTACAATGGAAGTTGGGAGAAATACAAATTGTCAAATGTTATTAAATCTTTTGTTTATAAATATTAAAGATGATTTGTTATTTATTTGCCATTACTAGTTTGTTCGCCTTTGTTGAAACTATGTAACATTGTTGTTTTTAAATTTAAATTGTTTTGTTTCATTTAGATGGTCCTTAAATTCA